GCCGCCTCCGCCGCCGCCGTTGGCCCGAGAGACTGATACAATTTATTTAGTAATTATGAGGATGGGTCTCTGGTGGGCCATTCGGACCAAGTTCGGAGCCGTGGAGCCAAGCCGTCCCCCCCACCTCCCCTCTACCAGTTGCTCCTGGGCGGCTCATAATGGAAACTAATAGAATTAACAAACGCTGATGAGACTCCACCGGGTTAGTTTTCTCGGGCATTTCCCTCCCCTTTTCACTATATCCGTCTCCGTCTGTATTTCTCTTGGTCGTCGCTGCTCTCTCTCCCGCTCACTCTATTCCTCTGTATAGTTCGAGAGAGAGAGACTGAGAGAGTGAACGTTCGCCGTAAAGAGAGTATATAAACTCGGCGGCGGCGGTGGGGTAACGACGGCGGGGTGACGGGGAAACGGCCAGGGGTTGGTTTTCCATTATCGGACATAATGGAAAATTAAATTGACTCGGCGTATACGAATTCGAGATACTACGCCAAGGTACTTATTTATTATCTCACCACTGCTACTGTCATTGAGTGTATATATATATATATATAGTGTTGTCAGACACTCAGACTTAGTGTGCCACGTGCCTACACCGCATGTATGGTGCATTTTAAAACTCAATCTCCTGCACATAGTCCGAGGTTTATTAGTACAGCTAATATTATAATATGCATTCCAAAGGTTTTGAGAAATAAATCGTAAGTTGGATATTGAATTAGTAATGACAGTAAGTTTTTACATTTAAAAAAAGCTTCTTTAAGAACGGAATGTATGCATCTACTAACTGGGTACTTTATTGTGTACCGCGTGCGCATTGAAACCGATCGATTATTTGAAATTTCAAAACTATAAAACAATTTGAAAATTTGATGCCGCAAATATTTTTAAGCTAGAAATTCGGAAAACTAATGCTTATGGCTGTAAATGTATATCAGACGGTAAAATATTTAACCCCACAAATGTGATCGAAACTGCAGGATGTTCACACCACCCCGAGGGATCGTATAGGGGACGTCAGGTGTCATTAAATAGACCTCATTGCTTCTTGGTTACTTCACGCTCAACATATATTTCTTATAAACTTTTCGAGTTCAATAAAAGTGAGTTCAGACTTTTATGTTTTTGTCAACCAATTCTGCTAGAGACGAACGTGATGGTGTTATGTTAGGTGTGTAATATACAATAACATTATCTAACAGTGGTGTGTTTATCATGATAAATTATAATATTTTACTTTTGACCGTTTTTAATATTTTTTATTTCCCTCGGGTTTACGAGAAAAATATTTTAAAATCAATCTAAATTTATTAAGATCAGTGGAGTCAAACGAACATAAAACTCAGCAGAATTTTTTACATTTATTTCAGAATATTATACATATAGGTACTTACGAAAATGAATATACTTTTTTTCAGTATACGAGATGTGTATAGTGTCCGAATTTAGTTTCACTTGAAAAATGTCCATTTCTAAACAATCTTAAAAATGTATATAGCCATTTGAATAACCGCGATGCGCAGCTCGCCAAACTCAGTTAACCGATTACATAATATGAAAGTAAAAGGAAATCACACAAAAACATTTTTTTATTTTTTTTTTGTCAAAAAGAACTTACCGCTTAGTACAGTGCGGAGATATACGTATGACCTATTCAAATGAATTACACAAGACATATGAATCGATTTTGTAAAAATATGCGTCGCCCATCATATTGGAATGTCGTGGCTCTTTAAAGGGTACATTATAATATATAATGCATAATGTGATATTACTCGAATTCCGCGGTAAACGCTCAAGTGTTCCATTTTCGAGAATCAAAAGTATTCGTAAAATGACAACCGACTGGAGGCCACTTGAGAACAAATATATATGTATTAGGTACCACACTAGGAACTTTGTCGTCTGTATTTTATAATATAATAATAAGAGGTATTCATTACTCGACATGTACCTATAATACGTCTCCTCGAGGACTTATACGATTTAAATTATGGAATTATGACATCCGGTGGACATCTGCTTCTATTGGATTTACTAAATAAAAAACCAACCCCCGGCCAAGACGTCACAGCTCTCGATTTGTTTGTCATATTATTATTACACAATATATCATGTATGAGGTAGGTAACATGTATTATGTGGTTTTGCAGACAACCGCGAGTGCCTCGACGATTGTTCCCTGTGCGCCCGACCACGACATTTAAACCTGTCATATTATTGTCGTATTATATTATGTATTGACATTCGTCCTATAATACACCGTTCACTACACCGGGGTGGGTAATCCGAACGTGCACAAGGCGGGTGTGCGGTATTGGGAATCGCGGCGTTTCCGAGCTGAGTGCGAAAATCATTATTTAGATCGAATTGCTTGTACGGTTTTTCTTTCAAGGTTTCTATACAGAAATGTATACCTTCGCATAAATGGGTACTTATTATACGCTGTCCACTGCTTTATCATCATCATCATCACTAAATAGTCCAACGACGTGACTGCATTGTGTGCGGTTGTTTTATTTTACCAACGTACTTTTCGTATTGACAAACGTGGATTCGGCCCCCTTGATAATTCACGAGCCTCTCATCATTTGAACCGGAAGCATTGTGATCGCCCAAATTACCCCGGAACTCGAAAATGGCCTTTGACCGACACCGGAGTGATGGTCGTAAGCACACGTCGACCACTCGGCATCGTATAGTGTCTTCTTCAAAAAATATTCGACGCCATCATGCTAATATCACTGTGCGGAGACATAACTCATGTGTGACGATAGTGATACTTATAAAAAACAAGAATATTGCACATTCTTTTTCTCGTAAAGATTTTACGAAATCGGTTCAGCCATATTTGCGATATTATCGTAGTGTAAAGCATAATGTATAATGTATCATAGTAAGTACTTCACACTTTTTGTAATTATCGTTTTATTGGGTCTAGACCAGTGTTTTCCAACCTTTTTACCGCCACGGACCACTTCGACCATATTTTATAGGTCACGGACCATCACAATTTTATGAAAACTAGGAAGAACTTTTTTTTTTTGCTCATTAACAAGAATACACGAAATGTATTATGCACTCTGATACTTACACACTTATAAAAGTGGAAAATACTTATCGGTCGTCGACAGCAACAACGATAAGATAACCGTATAATGCGTTCCTCAATAAGTCGTAATGTTTTTCGCTATAAATAATTTGTAATAGAAATCGAAGAAAAATCTATGGTACCGCGGACCACCGGTTGGGAAACACTCGTCTAGACCATGTATATTAAATTGGATTGCTGAAATGTATATTATTTTACCGCCAGCTGTATAGCTACTATTAAGTACCTCTATATACTAATATACTACTAATTGCCAAATCCAAACCATTCTGACATAATTATTTTTTAGGTCATAACTTATAACACTCACGCCGTAGTATTGTGTACGCATCAAAATACATTTACAACATGTCGGTAAAAACTTTTTTTTATCTACCTATAACATAATATTATGTTTTTTGTACGGACTTTATCGTTTTCGATAGTCCTCGTGACGGAAATGAAATCAATCCAACAAAATGTGATATCACGTCGACATTCTAACGAACTGCCCTTCAGATCGGTGCAATAACATATTATCGTGACATTGTATACGCCAAATATCGCGAGGATCGGAATTGTGCGAAGCAAATGTGATTTTTCCTCGGCCAAATCGCACGAGTCGACGAAACGTCACGTCTTACATTATAAACTGTTCGGGACAACTCGGATTTCACGGTCGCTCAAAACCGTACGAGTGTTCGTATTCCTGCACGCCGCCGTGTAGGGCGTCCGCTGTAGCGATTCGGGATTTTACACACCGCCGCGGTTAACCACCAGTGTGGTCGCCACGCCGCAGACCGTGCTCTCTGCGACCGCTGTAACCGTATATAATATATATACACAAGGCAGATCTAATGGCTTTGGAGTGCCGGTAATCCGATAAGTCGGGCGCGTGTGTTTGTTTGACATGCGCTCATCGCCGGATCCGGACCGCGGTTCGGCTAAAAGTGTTTAAAACAAAAACAATATGACGGCTATAATATACGTGAGTGTACAGCGTTACGTTATAATATGGCCTCGGCGCAGTTCTTCTATTATTATCGTTATTATTATTATTATTATTATTATTATTATTATTTCTATCGCCATCGTCGCCGTCGCCGCAGCGGTCGTCTTACCCGCTGCCGAGTTGTTGGAGCGGACACATTCGACGACGGCGGTTGAGACGGTGTCTTCAAATCCATATGATACGACTGCGACGAGTATACCGCCGAACGGTGCCGGCTTATTATATAAATGCGACGAATCGCTGCGAAGGCCGTAGGGATTAATAAAATATTGTTGTTGGCGACGAATCCGTGCGCCTGCCGGCTGATGTTTAACTGTATATTATACAGGTAATGCCCCTGCACGGTTGTTGATTTAATATTAAACAAACGATATCACGCGGTGGTCGTACTGTAACCATTAACCGTTTCGAACACTTCTCGTTTAATCCTCGAGCCGCAACGATAATAATATTATACTCGCAATAATAATAACACTGTACGCCTTTACGGTATTACGATCACGCTTTGTAAGTCTAGAAGAAACGCACTGCGTGTTCATATAATAAGTGTACTGCGCATGACAAAGTGGGCGAACGGTCTACTGCGGGGCTTGACGTAAATAATATCCCAATAAAAAAAAAAAAAAATGTTGTTCAACACGATTCCACTATATCGACATCATAATTTCAGCCGACGGAGTAGCTATATCATAAACGCCACGTAAAAACAATTTTATACATTTATATTCTCCGTCGTGTATAATAAACATGTATACTGTATATTAGTAAATAATAATAATAAATAATATTACTGCGCATTATGGCATAATACACTGCCGTACAAAATTAATTACAGAATCGACTGATATAATGTCAAAATTAAATTCATAAAATGCATTTCATTACTTCTACAAAAACAAAAAATATGAAATATTTAGTTCACCTACACAACTGATAAAAATATCAAATACTAAATAAAATATAGATTATATTAAGTGGCATGTTTTACTATCGGGATAATATTATTATGAAATTCAGTTTTTAATAATACAACTATTGAAACTCAATACCCATTATTATTTTAAAAGTCACGGCGAAAATTTAATAAAAAAAAAAAATAGGAAACGTTGTTCAAAATAAGAGGCCTACGTTATCTATTTATGTTACAGGTTTAACCCAATGTATCATTGAAAAGCAAAAACATGGTGTCGGGTCGTAATGATCACGAGTACCTATAGGTTTAATAAATAATAATAATACCTACCTAGTGTTAATAGTTGATACTTATGTATTATTGAAACTAGGCAACTTTTAATTCCCATCATATCTATACAATACATAATATTATATAGTGTGGTTCATGATTCGAGCAGTGGCGTCATTTAGGGGCGTCAAAGGGACATTTTCCCCTGGCCTATTTGTATAGGCCTACTATGCCGATCATTGGGATCTTTGGAGTTGGCCGGTCCAACGAGAAAAGAAAAAGAATTAATAAAAGTATATTTTATGTGCAGTTAAATATTTTCCTTGAGCATATTAAAAAAAATATACGTTTTGTAGTTTATTGAGGGCTATTGTTGTAAGACTCATTTTGTTTTTTAGTCAGATTTTTAGTTCAATATATATATTACGTATATTTAATAATGCTGGCAACACGGGCGAGAAATGCAATAGATAACGCCAGTTCGATAAAACAGGCAAGGACGAGACATCACCTGGCTATAGGCTATATTATAAAAAGCTGCAGCAATCACAGGAGGAACAAACATTTATTATTTGCAAAAGGACCGGTCAAAGTCCCCCTCCCCCCCGTCAAGTAAAACTCGAAACAACGCCACTGAAGCACAGCTAAGATAAATACTCAATGTCATTGGGTATACAATCTGAAGTTATTTATTATTCAAGTATTTGTTTTTATTTTTTATAAGAACATCTGCAGCGTTATCGTGAACTGCTCCTTTTCTTTCTGTTTCATAACGTATTAACCAATATCATGAATGAACGTTTTAAATTGCTGTATTTATATATATTATATCACTATTTAAATTTTTTAAATTTTGTTTTCATTAAATGTTCGAATTTACGATACATATTATTATTTTGTCTAAAATATTTTCCCACCACTTCATACTACTTAGAATTATGTAATATATACGACTATACTGGTTTACACGTCTTATATTATGTTTAGCAAAGGTTATTGGCATTAGCTATTATTGTGCATGAATCATATATAATATAATACACTCTTAATTGATTTTTGAATTCGGCGTAAAAGTTCTACAAATATTTAAATTTGCTTCGCAAACAAATCGATCATATGGTAAATGAAGTTAAGTAAATATTAAAATGGCAATTTTTTATAAATTTTTATAAAGTTCTGCGTAACTAAATCACAGCAACTGTACATTAATGCTTGTGAGTCATATATAACATATGAACATGCGATGAGCATTTATTGTTTCACTTATCTAATCTTTTCGATTATAAGTTGCTGTAGAACAAAAAAACTACTTATTTTTAAAATTACTTATATTTTATATTAAATTTATCAACGTACTCACGATGATGTCTATGATGAAACACATAATATAGCTCATAAAACACTTGAACAAACATTTCATAACGTGTTTTTTTTTTTAATCACAAAAACGTTCATACACAAAATAGCACCGCATTAATAAAAATAAAACTAGTAAAAATATTTAACAGCAATATTTCTACAATCAAAATACCTACATTTTAACGGTATCCCCACAATACTTTGTTGACTTAGTATTCATTTTAATGTACCTTTACAAGATGGTCCATTTGATTCACTCGATATTTCAAATAGAAATCACAAATCACGATTTGATAATATCATTGTAAAATAACATTTAACAAAAAAAAATTTAAGATTTTTAATTTTTGGATTGACAAAATATCTATTTAATTTCACATTGCAAAGAAAATTACTTTTTGGAGTATTTCGATACTCGATCGAGTAATCATACAATTAGTCATTATATTATATATCATAAATGTTAATAACTCTGAAACTAGACGATATTCATGTTCACCATATGTACAGTGCGTACTGTACATTTTCACAAAGAAAATAATCATTATTTTATCTGACCCAATTTAAGTCTTATGACGAATTTTTAAACGAGAAATTTGAACTATAGTCTGTTACTAATTATTTTCTATCAATATATTATAGCTGACGTTATAATAATGTTTAACTTAACAAATAACTAGTGTATAATACCTACGTAACGTCATTTTGGTGTGTAATTTTCGTTTATATCTACATAGATAAGTGATTAATCAGTTGGGTTTGTTGTAATGAATTGCAAGGAGCTTGTCGTATGCGTTTAAAATGTTTAACTAAAAATGATTAGTTGCACTTATATATTGCATTAACTTGTTGCCTGATATTTATAGGTTTAAGTTATTTGTATTGAGTGGCTTTAAATTTGACACAAATTTAACATTAAAAACTATAGGTTTAATTATTACGTTATTTTTATCTATTTGATTTACCCGGGACAGCTAGCGGGTAGGTTTGTCACGAATTCAATAAATTTAAAGTTATAATTACAATATTGTGTTAATATTAATATTAATATTAATATTATTATTATTATTATTTTATTTGTATAAGTAACAGCTAACACGTTTAAAGTCACAACGATAATAATACTATGTTATTGAATATAAACACAATCTGTTGAGCAAACAAAATCATTATTTTATATCAAATGTTCAATGTTGTCAAAATGTTAACTTCTGAGACTGTATAATACACGGGCACCATCAATATTTCCAATAAAATCGTCGAAAAAACACAGAATAAGACACATGCATTCCTTATTTGCTGGCTGCGGAGAATGTAAAATCAACAGCTTGAACTTGGTTTTTGATTAGGAGTATTTTTTCATGACGTCTGTCTAATAAACGATAATTTATGTAACTATTATATATAATTCGATTTGGCGCAGTAAACCGCATAACATTGACTGTACACACAATATAATGCACGCCGAGATAATATCATTGTAAATTCCGTATATATAATAATGTGCGTATCAGCAACCATATACACACAATATAGAAGGGGTCCTACAAAGTCCCCAGGGATAAATGGTGGACACTCTACAAATACTGTATACGACTTCCGACGGGGTTTAAAACATTTTTCCGCCGCACATATATAATCATTATAATATATACACGATATTATTATTCAGCAGTATTTACAGCACATACAATAATTATTATTATATACGCTAATGAAATAATCGTCTAAATACTGCGCCGCGCATATTATCATCTATATCTGTATGCAAACCAGACGTGATATTACAATGTTATTATAGGGGCCTGGGGGGTGGGATTTCCATGCACTTTTCATTTTTTTTTTTCCAGAGGTTGCTGTACGACGCTCACCTGGCCAGTGGTCACAAATCACTGACGTGTACTTTTGAATGAGAATAAGAAAACTTTTGATTTTATTTCCTTCATTTTTTAGGGCACCATTTGAGTTTTTGGGTCCAAAATGCAAACTTGAAATTTTATTTTAAGACTTTACACGGCACCGAGAGTTTTATATAAATGTATATATATTTTTTTTTGTTATTTAACAAACAATAAACTAGGTACCTACCTATACTCGTATCTCGTGTCGTAGAAAAACTTGGATAACGAGTTTGCGATTGGCGGCGAAATCCAATTGGAAGTTTAGCCCGTGGAAAAACTATTTTAGTCACTTAAATTTCAATTTTACTTGTTTATTCAAATATTATTTAAAATGTATTCTAAATTTATTAAAAATAAAAACAATTTATCTGCATTTCTTTAGTGCATTGTTTAGAATTTTTAGCATTTTTTAAGGCCATTGAATTCCCAGCCCTAATTATTATGTTTGACTTCGGTCGACTCAGCGCAGAATAAAATTACCTATAATTATTTATAAACGGTTATAAATTCGAAAGCGATGTACTGATACCTACACGTTATATGTATAGGTGGCCAGGTAATAAATCTTCGCAGTATGGAGATCGGTTTGCTATACGATTTTTCGATATTTTCCACTCGGTATTATCTTGATAGTTTTGCCTCATGGTTAGAGAAACTGTATACACTTCAGAGAATGTGTCAGCGCACTTTTTTTCCCTCCGACCCACGTTAAACAAAGAAAATTTTACCTTCACAATAATGATTATAATCATAATAATTTCTAAAATCAGAGTGAAATGACCTACTATAAAATTTAAAGCTAAGATTATTATTATCTTCTGCATCTCATAAGTTTTTTATTATACTTTAATTTTAAGGCAATGTATGAGTATTCCAAGATGAACTAACAATTTACAATTTTAAAATACTCATAACTCCCTTTAAAATTAAAATATAATAAGAAGTCCGTGAGATGGCCTAGTTAATAGCCTTTGAATTCTATAAGAAGTCATTTCACTCTGATTTTAGAAATTGTTATGATTTAAACATTATTGTGATCCTGAAATTTTGCTACATGTTGCGCACGGGCCAGAGAGGAGAAAATGCTCTGACATACTCTTAAATAGGTACTTAAAAAAGATTATAATATTAATTCTAGTCAGCGATTTGTAAAGATACTATTGCTACCCAAGACTTTAAGAGCCGTCCTTACCCCAAAAACAAGTTCCAAAAAATCTATGGGATCATAAATCCATAATACATAATATTACAATAATGTGTATTCGCAATTACAGACTATTGGCAAGCATACAAATATTTACCAAGCCTTAAAGCCCAAGAAGTCCGTTATGTTTATGAAATAATTTTAAGTGATCGCTTGCAGATATGTTTTCACTTATCGCAAAGATGTGATGAAGTATAATGCATCGTTTTCACGTGTTGACAGAAGAAAAAAGATCAACTCTAAATCACATAAACCAAATTAAAACATAATATTTATTAAACATCAAATAATTCCGAAAAAATAAATACCAAAACTTTTCTCATAAAAAAATGTGAATCATGTTTTTTTGAAATTTTTTTCCCCGTTATCTGAAGGAACTCATTACACCATTTCAGATCTCTATAAACAGTAGGTATACATTTATAATACAATATTTTACGACTGTTTAAAAATAAAAATAAATACGCACGGGCGCCTAGGTGTACCAATAATTGATATTGCAGGTATCAATGTCTTACGTTCTCGACCATTCTATGTAAATCGTGTGTATTAATCATTGTTGTTGAGTAAAATTCTATAATCGAACATGACGAGATTATAATTCCAATAATTCTATGCGTCGCATTATGCATTAACTCCGCGGCTAATCGGTGTGCAAATAAACTAAAATGCTTTTGAACGTATATACATTGTGCTCAATTTATTGAACCTATTATATAACACGTGTAGGCACTGTACGTTATATTTTATAACATTATGTTATAATAACTGTAAAAATCATCGTTGTGTGGCCCCCATACCGCATAATAATATAAATACAACATCATTGGTGGGCACCTACCAATTATTATTATTATTATTATTATTATTATTAAAATATAAAACGCTACGCACTCGAACTCGCGTTATCTATGAGTCACACAAGAGTGTTGTGTCCTCGCGGTGGAGTGTCACCAGATAAGATACGCGTCGGCGGCGGCCGTCTCTTAGGAAGTCGGTAAAAGAACGTTTGGCGTTTAGTCTTCGATCAGAGTTCAGTCGAATTTCAAATTAACAGCACTCGCACAGCAGTCAACGCCGCCGCCGCCGCCATCATCATCATCACCATGTACAAAATCGTGTTCGTCGTAGCCGTGTTCGCCTTCGCGCTCCAGGGTGCTCTCTGCAGCCCCGTCAACGAAGTCGAGGTAAACAATGATATTAATTACGTTTTGCATCGACAGAAATAGCAATAAATACATGTATAGCACTGTAATCCTGGTTTGACCATCACCCCCCACGAACGGACGATATTTTGGCACCTAGGTCCTGTATTTAGTCCGATCGAACTCGATTTTCACAGGCGTAACTGGGGGGGGGGGCTCAAACGGGCTTCAGCCCTCCTCCCCCTCCCTAACTTAAAGGACTAGTTACGCCCGTGGATATTATTGTGATTGGGACAACAAATATGATGATATTTTCTCTTTCATGCGCAGTCCGCACCTCTGGAGGTGAAAGCCGATGCCCCCAAGAGTGTTGGTGCAGTGGAGAACAAGCCCGCTGATGACCCACCCACGACTGTGCCCACCGCTGCACCGGAGACCGTCACTACCACTCAGGCCCCGAAGAGTGGCGCTTCCAGCACGGAAATGTGCTTGCTGCTCGTCCAAGTCTCGTCGTTAGCGTTGGTCGCCAAGCACATGCTGTTGTAAATTTAGTTATGTAGTTAGACGAAAAACGGTGTAACTATGTGCAATCAAATATACACACTGCGTAATAATATGATATAATAACTATTGTTTTATTATTCGTACTTTTATTTTCATATATATATTTTACAATAATATAATAATATTATGATTGTTTATTAATTTTTTATAGTTAAATCAATAATCTATAAGACAATAATATAATTATAATTTACAGTAGGTACGTCTTTTATTACTTCACTATTAGCGAATAAAACATAATTTTTTTTTTTGATGTATAAATGACTAATTTGATATTTCATTTCCATTAGTTAATATATACATAATTATACCTTGATATTCCTTCAAAAAATAAATATATTTTCATACCAACTGTATATTATTATTTGTAATTATTTTTATCGACGAAGCAACACATTATATTTTATAGATGGTATCATAATAATAATTAATATCGCGATATTGATATTATTATTATTATATTACATGCTCCCATTTTGTCTTAACTTCATACGCATCGTCCTGATATTTTTCTTCAATAATTCCCTCTCGAAAATTAGTTAGTTGTTATTACATCTTTTATAACACTCTTACCAGCTATACTAGATAATATTTTATTGCTACGTCTATAATTTTAGTGACTATCAATAATATATTACACTTGCAGATTAAAGTTCATAGATAAAGACGTACTTGAGTACTTACCTACTTCTTACAACGGCAAATATTTACATTTCTCGACATAATTAAAAATCTCATGGTGCACAAATTACCTACAACTTTTACACAAAATGATTTTCCCCGCTAAACAAACAATTTACTTTTGGGCTGCTGGAGACCTGTGCAAGGTTAAGTCGTAAAATACGCACATATAGATAATATCTCATTCCGTAACGATGGTGGAAATATACGTATATAAGCGTACAGGGCGATTGTTTTATCAGTTAACGCTCATTATCTCGACAAACATATGAATAAAAAAATTAAATAGACAAACAATATAAACGTCATACGTATTTGCTTATAGGTACTTGACGAGAAAATTGACGTCTTCGCTCAAATAAGAATCGCACCTTGTTATTACGCGTATCAAAATAAAATAATATTCTTTTTAGTAGTGTTCCTCACAGCTGCAGTGAAACACAATCACATTTATACAATGCAGGCGAGTAACCTACCTATATTATGATCTGAATGAAATATTTTTTTTTTTTTGCGATCGTGTTGATGATAACAATACATCGATTCACGATTGCATTGATGTACGCATCCATTTAATAATGGAGTGTATTATAGTCGTCTTAAATCAATGGTGCTTAAAAAACGATGCTTACCTGCTACTACGGTATAGTGAGCAACATAGTAGTCCAAGGATAACAAAAAAAGCATTGGTCAGGGTAAACATTATTTTATTATGATAATGCGTAATCGTTCCCCTCGGAATCTTATCCGCTGTGAAACGTGTGGTATGCAGGTATACGAGGAGGTGGTCAGATACCACCCAGCCTAAATTATTTTTTAATAAGAAACCAAAGTGAACAGCGTCTGAGTTTGACCGTGTTCGCGGTTATCACCACCGTGTCCGTATCCTGGCATAAACAACTAGCATCGCCACATTCAGGATTTTCAACTCGGTTTGTACTACTGTGTCAGACAGTGCTTGAATTCTCATTGTAGAAGTTATATCACACCTCAATATTTGTCGCGGAAAAAAAGCGTTTCGTCAGCCGACCTGTAGCGTTATTGCCCACACGTATCGTGGCCTCATCCAAAGCCATTCCATTTAATGAAGCTGAAGAAACCATAGTACATGAACGGCATCTAGGTTTGAAATTAAGTTTCCATGGCTCCTTGGCCAGCTATTGGTTTTTCTAATATGTCATTCGTCTCACAACTGTTTAAAGATCGTTATTAAAACAAATTGATTGTTGCGCTTATACAGTGAACCAATTTCAATTAAATTGTCATAATATTATTATCATGTCTTCTGCAATTATATCAAACTCCGTGTATTTACATTTGGCCAAGAGACGTGCAAGCAATTACCCGGTTATTACCACAACCACGGTGTCCGTATCCTGCTGGCCCGCACAAACGAATGACATCGCCACATCATATGGTTCCGTCAGGATTTTCAACTCCTGAATTTTGTACTACTGTGTCAGACGATTCTTGAATTTCTTTTTCGTGGTCTATCATCATGACATTTGGCCAGGAAAAGCACCGTCTGACACAGTAGTAAAGGCAAAGTTTAAAATCCTGACAGAAACCAATGTGACGATGCCAGTTGTTTGTGCTGGCCAGCAGGATACAGACGCGGTATAATAACATAATAGCTTGCACGTCTCTTGGCCAAATGTAAATCCACGAGGAGTTTGATATAAATGAAGACATGATAATAATATGACGATATAATTGAAATTGGTTCACTGCAGTATAAGCGCAATAATCAATTCGTTTTTAAAAGTAAATTTAAACAGTTCTAAGACGAATGACATATTATTAAAACCGATAGCTGACTAAGGAGCCATGGAAACTTAATTAGTTTATGTTACTATGCCTGAAATAGATAAAATAATAACAATATTAATAATCAAGTCTTACAATTAAATAAAACTGTGCCAAATAATACTGTAAGTTAAATTTTTAGGCTCTTGATTTTTTGAACGGTTTTTAAGGGAATAATGAATGCGAGCTTGCTCGGTGGAACACCGTCGTCGTGTAGACATTTTGTATTTTAAAAATTCAGATTATTACCCGGGTGGGTGCACGTCGTATTACACTCAGAATTTATACCTTAGAATTTAAATCATACATCTAGGATGAACCCGATAATTTAAAGCACATAATATTAGTGACAAGTGTCTATATTAGACCAATAATCTGCGAATACGCGAAAACAAATGTCTTAATATATTATTATTAATCTATTTGCATTTATCTAAAATATAAATACACGTGACCAACTGCTAACGAATGCGCACATATCTTCTAATTCAGTGCTTATTTGTGCGTCGAATTGTTGAAATGGGCTAATTGTTGGGCATGGCTCGCCATCCATAGTATAATACGAACAAAAGAAAGTACTTTAACAAATCTTAAATTATATATACCTATGTATAATAATATTATAATATTGTATGTACACAATACATATAAAGCAATTAACAATTCGTCATAAAATATTTCACACGTTACTTTAATTATTTCAACAGGTTCATTGAAACATTGATAGGTCGTTCTTTTTGCTTCAAAAAGTTAACCATGCACACTATGAACATCGTTAATTATCCATTACCGTTATTATTATCATAAGTAAACTATAGTTTTCTCAGCTATTTTGATACTTTATATTAAAATATTATATATACGTTCGATATTTGTATAATATACAAAGATATTACGCAATTAAAACAATCTTGGAATAAATTTGACTCCCCAATAATAGCTAAAAAATTAAATCATCAATGTCTATAGCGGACAGGGTTTTAACAATGATATTTTTTTCTTATATGAATAATTAAACAATTTCATTGATTGTCCCGAGTTCTTAGCCAAAACCCCGCTCCGCTCTACTGCAAATACCTTTAAAGTACAACCTCAAAAACAAAACTATAGTCATTATGCCGCTCTGAATAGAATTTTATTGAATAGCAATATTCCATTAATAGCTTGAACTTTTTTTTCGATTCACCAAGCACGTTGAAAAAAGTAGTGCAATCAGTTGAATTGCATTTAATTTTAAGATTAATTTTTACAGGCCTACTTTATACATAGATTATTATCATTCTGGTATTTTCGAATTACCCAGTTGTAAGACACTTATTTAATATTACCCACTGCACTCTTTGCCCACATAAAGGGCGTCATCGCTTATCGTAATTTCTTCTTTACAATAAATTATCATCATCATCATCATCATTATTATTACATATTAACTATAAACCGGTCGTACGGTATTATGGCATGGCGATATAACTTTCTATGGTCCGTAGGTGGATGAAAAGCGTTTGAAAATGGGATCGAGCAAAAGACCGAGAGTAAGCGATGACGACGAGGACATATTATTATTGTACAAAGACGACGAGGAAAGAGCGAGAGCGGTATACGCGGTAACCGACGGACCGCCGCTGACGGCGGTAAAAAAACGCGTTTCGCGACGAGGCCAATGGAAGACTTTGGCGGCCCGCCACCGCCACCTCCACGCCACCTGCGCCGTCGCCTCCACCGCCTCCGCCGCCGTTCGCGCGTCTTCGGCCATTTTCCACGTGTGCGCCGAGAGCAAAGCGCCGCGACAATGAGAGACGGCAAGCAGATAAAACCGCCACCACCGCCGGTGGTAGGAGCTTTGCGGTTTCCATGGCGATTCGCGCAGGGATTTACAAGTCGACCGATGCTATTCGTCGTCCCGCAGCCCTTTTTCCGCGGGCCGCTCGTCCGCCTCCACCCCCACCCTCCCCCCAAAGCCACCCCGCCGAGAGAGCGTTCACCTACCCCCCCGCGTGCCTATAAAGTGATTGTGCCACAAAGATTTACAAGCGTAATGTGTATATATATTACGTATATGTGTGTGTGTGTGTGTGTGTGTGTGTGTGTGTGTGTAAATGTATCGTATACAGCGTGCGGCAGAGCAGTGGGTGGTGTGCCTACACAGTGTGATCCACCGTTACGTGTACATCGTTTAACCACGGAATAAATGAAATTTTTCATTTATTCTGTGGTTTAACCCGTCACAACTGCACGACTGTTCGTTACGACTGTTTTCTCTGCAGTTTTGTACATTTTCAACTTATATCAATCATGTTTCTAGATCGATAACAACTATATTATAAACTGCATTGTTAAATATCTACTAAATCTGTCAATTCAAACAAGCACCACGTTTATTTATAAAGGACTGAGATTTCGTGATTTAAGGGCATATTTTTAATTTTATTGCCCCAGTTGAAATCTATAAAAATAAACATTTAACTATTACTTTAGGTCATAATATGGTCATAGTACAAGATATAATCATAATATAAATATATACCTATCTTGTTACGATAAAGTTGTTGGGTGGCTCGGCGTGGCGCGTTTGGCCACAGCTACTAGTTCCCGGATGGGTGACCAACCGGGTTCATAGTAGTCAAAAACCTTGCCACACATACACGTGTTTGCTATCTACCGTAACAATCGTAAAAAAAGAACAACCAACCAACCAACCTTACCCCCTGCCACAGTTCATAACCCCTACAACAGCTATAATGGCCATATATCCACCGTTACGTATACATCGTTTAACCCGTCACAACTACACTGTTTGTTACAAATGTTTTCTCTGCAGTTTTGCCCATTTTCGAGACACTTTCCTACATTATAGGTAACTATTTCACACGTCAAATACACGGCGGTTCGATGTAATAAGTGTTCAACGGACATCACATACAAGTTACAACACCTATAGCAACCCTATTTTTATGTGTGTAAACACAAACGAGGTCTGGCCCATAATCTTCGTATTTTATTAATTTAACCCTTAACCTCTACACCCGTAATTTAAATCGTTCTCACCTACTCCGAAACGGCAGAAGAATGATACATGTAACATGGATATTAGCACTTATATTGTTTTCATTCTAAAAACATGTGCGAGCTGTGTATACCTATTATAGGTACGCCGTAGAACAGATCTAATACGAATTTTGCCTCTTGTCGACCCATAATTGGCATTTCAAATTTTTAGTCGGGCGGAGTACCTAGTAATATTATATAGTGCAGTTTCGCACCCCTAATTATTGGCGCCCTACTTCATATCACAATTTATATAACGTTGTTTGATCCACGTTAGATCCATTTACATAGTATATGTTATTTATAGTAATTATTCACTATATGTATAGCTACCCCCCACTATGACTAAATGTATAAATCGCACTGTAATTAAAACCGTCGTGCATTGACCCCTAAAAAAATGTATTACTTTATGATTACATTAAGATTTAGGATACACGTGCGAGCTATGTGGCGGTGCTAATGTAAATAATATACCGACCATCGTCAATAAGGACGAAGAGAAACTAATAACAACAACACTTGCACTGACCTTACCCCAGTAAATCGACTCCGACAACGCTGCGGACTATAACCTCCACGAAATACCACAAAACAACAACGAATTCTTCTTTAAAGTGCACCAAAAACTGTTCAGTTTCGTAAATTACAGGTGTGTTTAAGATAATGCCGTTATCTTCATTAAAAATCTGGAAAAATAAGTAAGCACACGTTAGTTATAGGTAGGTACGAATTCCATTTTATTATTATGTATTTATATAGTAAGCGTGTTGTACAAAACTGCAAGTGTTTTTAGTGTACAAAACCAAACAAGTCCTTGAAATATGGATAATGATAGGTAGGTCATAGGCATGCCAGCTATCTTAAAATAATGTTTGTACTTTGTTTACAACATAATATAAAAATAATAAAATGTACCTGACCAAAATTAGGTGAGTATAAACAATGACATATTATGCGTGACAGATAATTTCATTCCAAAAATTACAACAAAGATGGCAAGTGATAATAATTTAACCAACACTAGGTATATCATTATAAAAGGGATATTGGAAATTTTGAAATTGGAGTAATTTATTTTAAAGTACTAAATATTAGTACTCTAGAAATAATTCAGAAACCTAAAAAATTGTCTTTTAATAAACTTTTAAGTTTTTTTGTGATCACTAATTCATAGAACCGGTATTAATTAGAATCAAAAAAAGGAAAACATGATTCAAACAGTATATTTCTACGTTCAGTGTACCTTTTAATAGAATCACTCTGTTCCGAATAATTAAATCACTTCTACGAACATTTTTATTGATTTTATCCGGTTAGTCCGACGAAAAATAAACTGCAGGAACCAAAAAACATAACAACAAATTTCGAAAATTAAATTTTAATTGATCAAGGTTTACCTAATTTTGAAGCATTATCTGATCAAAAAAATAACTATATTGCAATCAAAAAATCAAAAAAAATCTAAAAATCTATTAAAGACGAGGTCGACCAAAATCACTCGAATGATAAATTTTAAAAGGAGCTGTTTTTTATACGGCAATAACAATAAATGCTTTTCAGTCGTTTCAAAAATTACATTTAATACAGTTTTTAATTTAAAAATGTAAATAAAAACAAAAATGATGAATTATAGTTTCAGACTAATGTATGAAAAGCAATAAGGCACTTTGGTCCAATTCAAAATCGACATATAGTTTTTTATTTTCTTTATTTCAAATGTATTTTTTTTTTTTTTTTTGTTATTTGTGTTTTATTTAGTTTCGCTATTACACAGGTACACATAATATTAATAAATAATCATTACGATATAAAATGTTTTATGAAATCGACTGCTGGTTAATAGAATCAAAACGGTGACCTTCTTCACCGGTGTGGTCGCATATTGAGCGGAACTCGTTGCAGTACTTATTAATTAAACTCTTACAACTCTCATTTGATTCTCATTGTATAATAATATTATGTATATCATTTGGTTTTCGCACCAAATTAATTAATTAATTACAAAAACCATCTCATTTGCGGACTAAGAGCAGTCATAAGCTGTATGGGTTATGCATTATCATATATAGTAAGGATATTTTTTTGTATGCAGACTTTTTAAAATCTAAATAATGCTTTCCGGTTTCCGTACCCGCGCAGTGCATAATAAACCGAAAACAATATACTGCGGACACGACAATGCGCGCGCACTCGTGTGATGCACACAATAATATAATGTCACAACGCGTAAAACATTATGTTTTATTTATTGGCGTATACCTCGTACACGGTAAATCGACCGCAATAATCTATACACACGAGCTGACATAATTTAATGGTCAACCATAAAACACATACCGACCGTGGTAAAGCCGAGGCCAGACCCTTAAACTAATTTCTCGCTGGGGACGTTTTTCTTTTCGCACCCTCCGAGTACTTCCGGGCCGCGCAGTTTTTCTGGTAAATGTTTAAAAACGCGTTTACTTATATACGCACTGCAATTCTGCACCCTTACAACATAATATAATACCGAAACCTATACACGCGTCCGACCATCAGCACCCTTTTCTGCGAATAAAAAATACTGCGAACGAGGGTAAACCGACAAATCAGCGCGGTAAGTATATATTTATTGCATAATAATAAAACACACCTACATATTAATATATATCTTTCCACACTATATAAATCGCTCGTGCGCGTGCGTCACGTTCGAGTATGTGGTAAATACATTATTATTACTTATTACATAATTATTGTTTTTTAATTACTGTATAAAGTTCGCGTGTAATTGCAGATTACATAATAATAATAATAATAATCGTCGTTTTAAAAAGCATACTAAATATGTGTAGTGCGTTCGTTTATAAGTATATAAATATTAATTATAGGTATATCGCTCAAATAACCGTACTATATGGTATGAATACGACAATGAAGGTACATCGATATCGGTGTGATATTTTATATCTGCTATTGTTTACTGTCGCCCACAATCGACATTACTCTCGTTGGGAAATTAGATGAATGAAGAATGCAGCAGTTGACTTTACCGCGCGGTATTGAGTGTACCGGTGTACCTATATGTATATATGATTATTATTTATTTTTCTTTATTGATTAATCATCAACTACATAGGTTGTTTTAGGTTACGAGTGTACATTTTAACGTTAAAGATTATACACTATTATACAAATCGATTTTTTTTCAAATATGAAGTTATGTTTTGGAGGTTCGAGAATGGACCAATTGCTTCATACAACTTGTCCGGGATGTTGAAGTCTTTTCTGACTTCTTCAAAGTTGGGGCAGTGGATGATTACGTATAATATGCTTGATGGAGTAGTTTGCGTCACATGTTGGGCATAGGGGTGGATCTGTCTTTGCCATAAAATGTCTGTGTGTGAGTTTCGGATGACCAATGCTGCAGAGTCAGTCAAAAATTACCTCATTTTTTTCTGTTTAGATCAGTGTATTTCAACCAGAGTTCAACGGAGTGCTTATTTTCTCTTAATTTATTTTCTGTGGTCGTGTGCTAAGGTGAGTTCCACAGATCTATACAGTATTTGTTAACATTTCCTTTAATATCTACGAGCGGGGAAAAGGGAATGATTTCACTGTCTGAACTATTGATTGTATTTCTAGCAGCTCCGTCTGCCTCCTCATTTCCCTTTATGTTACAATGACCTGGGGTCCATATAAGTCTAATGTCTTTGTTTGATTTGGAAAGAAGATTAAAAATTGAAAGATCCAATTTTTCAGTCAACGTTTTAGATTGCAGTTTACTAAGGCACTGAGTGAGTCAGAACATATTTCTATTTTTGTATTATTGATCTCGAAGGCTAATTGGGCTCCTTTAAATAGTCCTAGGTATTCGGCTGTATGAATAAAACTGTTTAAAATATTAAGTTTGAGGACTGTTTAGTTGAATTAAAGTGGACTCCTGCAAGTCCTGTATGCATATCATATTATTATATTATACGTTTATTAGCATTATTATTATTTTCATTATTGGGAGTTTGGGACAATGTTATTATGTAATATTAATGATTTCGGCTCATTATATAATAGTGTATATCGGTTAAATACATCGTATTTATAAAAAAAATAAAAATACATATTAATTCATTATTATAGGCACCTCTATTGGTGGTAAAAATATAAATTGAAGTCAATTGTCAATACTTTAAAATGGTGTAGGCATTGGGCACCAGGTATTTATTTATTGCTCAATACTAATTATACACATAGAATACAACAAATTAGCCTGATTACGATTTTGATTAATTAATAATAAAAATAAGTACCTAGTGCTAAAATTTGAATGAAAACAATTATCAAAACGTGACGTTATATACACTACAGGATGTTACACAAAATCGAGATAAAGTTTAAAATTAAAAATCTACATTAGTGCCGATTGGTCTTTAATTGTTCAATTTCTTTAGTCCACTGAATAAATAGCAGGACAACATAATATAATTACCGGGGTAATTTAACGCCGTTTATAGAGGTTAAACTGCAATATTATGCTGCTGATTTATTGATTTTTTTTTTATTGTGAATGAACTGTGAGGGTATTTATAGTCTTTAAGTGAGTCTTAAAATAATGAAAGTGATTATTTGTATGGTAATTTTTTTTTTTTTTGACAAATCAGTTTAGTCAATAATACGTGCACATTAAAGTCAGTCACCATCATAGGCTTAAAACACGAAATGGAGTCGTATATGGTTGGCCGAAATCGTAAAATGCCTTATCTACTTGATGAAAAACTCTCACGAAACCGCGCCTTAAGTCTTTAACGGATACGCAATAACTATACACTATCGGCAATCAATAATATATTATATAATGATTCTATAGAACTACTATTCAAAAATGTACAACTAATAAACTATGTATAGTGTTGTATCTTCTTTTTACATACTTTTGTTACGATTCTGAGTACTTTATATATCGACTATCGATGGAGTATTATACTTTTTGTTGGTACATCGTAAACAGGATTCAATCAGTGTAATTAGTTCTGTAATAACATAAAACTCTTTTTTCAATTCTTTTTGTTGGTGTTTTAACAAGTTTCTAACAAATATTTTACTATATTCCAATTTATTCGCTTAGGTTTTTCTTTCGACGTACGTTATATAGTAACATAAACGTCTATAAATTATAATAGTATGACAGTGAAATCTGCTCCTTATTTTCTTCGATCCTTTACTGCTGTATGCGAATCCGCAGGTATCGGACGAGGCCAATTGGGAAGTATATTTGGCTCTATTTCCCGCGGAGTAATAGGCTGGAAGAAAATATGTGATTTGGGACGTACGATTTTGAAAATAAACCATTCACCTCTTTATTTTTCAGGTTCCGTAACAAATGATATTTATTTGGATCACTTACCTGTTCTGACCGAAAATTTTTATTGGACCATCAATACATCTCCGAGGTCCATCAATAGGTAATAGGTATATGTACCTGTACACTGTACAGACATAACATAACATAATAATATATAGGCTGGGGCGGTCCAGTCGTATTATTACGTCCGATCACGTGTGAGCGCGCCATCTGCCGGTCAGACTTAACGATTCCTTCGGGACTTACGAGCAACTGGAGGGGGCTGTTGGTGGCGGGGAAAATCATGTCTCCGGGCTGATTTATGCGCCTTACCCCACAGTCGTCCGTGGACCGGGCGGTGGTGGCATTTTGATTATCCCTATATACAACACGCGCCCACCCCTCCGGCCGCCGTCTATTGTCGCGTTATCGTGTAATTGGCTTCGGTTCCATTCGCACCACGCGCCTCCCCTCCACGTTGCCACCCGAACCGGCCCCACCTTCAGCCACCACCACCACCACCCCCTTATCACCCCTCGTGTTTATCTTCGTAATTAAGTAACATATATAAACCCAACACCGAAACTCCTCGTCCACCCACACACACATGTACCGTCACATATATGTACACTTCGCCCCCACTTGCCCATCTCTAATCATCATCCTCTCACCCTCTTACGCAGTTCCACCCCTCGTTAACCTATCCCTCCGTTGTCATTGAATCTCCACTCGACCGCGTACTACATACCTATATAATATATATAGGTACCATTATTATATTGTGTGTGGCTGCAAACCCGTTTGCACTTTTATTTTTCTATACGCGGCCGCATAATAATGTACCAATAAAATACTAAAATTCATGATCAAAGTACTCGTAAAACCATTGCGTTCGAAACATCGTGAGACATTAATTTTAAACAAACTCGGAGCACCTATAGAAATAGACGCACTCGCAGGTCATGATGGTTTTCATGCGAACCTCTCACTTATAGAACATAAAGTACAAGGTAATACATAGGAAATAATGAGAGCGTCGTATGTTTGCAGCCCAAAACTCGAAATAATTGTTTTAAAAATAATTGATTCGCTTGTATAGGTAATGGTGTATCGCACCTATTAAAATCGAATTTTTTTCCAACGTTCGGCAAAATAGGTACACTAGGATTTAGCGACACTGCAGAAACCGGAAGTTTCGATAAGAAAAATAAATATTCAAACACATTTTGTATTAATTTCAGATACGTTTGTGGGAACGATTGCAGCAGTCTTGTTTTCAAAAATGTGGCTATAAATCACCCAGCACGACTACAGCGGGGAGGACTGTGAATCTAAGGGATATAACTTTACATTTTGTAACCGAAAAAGTTAGACAGTAATTATTATACTTCAGATTAGATTAATACATTATTTATTATTATTTATTCTTGTTTCTTATATTTAGATAACTATCTAATTTTTAACAAGTATATCAAAAAGTCACTTTTTTAAATATTTTTTTTTTCTCGAGACATATTTCTTGCCACAATATCATGTGTTTACAGTTAACTTTTAATACAATTATGTTTTTGTTGCATATAATTATTTTAGAATCAAAAGTTTTTTATAATTCACTAATAATAATAAAACACACGTTGTATACTTCTATAGTTTATACACGCATGAACTGCGTAACAATCCATGTTGATATTTGACTTGTACGAAGCATCCGAACACTGTTCCTTAACGCCGAGCATCAAGTGTACTTATAATAATAATATTGTGACATGAAATATCGAATCGATTACAATGTCCAATCATAAATAATAGGTAATACAACAACTTTAGTCAACAATTATTGTTATAAAAATTGTGTGTATAGGCAAAAACAAGGGATAGGGTTTCAGGGGCCGATAAGGGCACCACCAAACATTTCCTAAATTTGTTTCAAGCTTATTCGATATTGTTATCGTAGAGCTTCGACCCCCCCCCCCCCCCCAAACGTCAAACGTCATTACGTCATTTACTCCCATATACAACGTGGCCACTATATATAGGTACCTATCTGAGTGCAGTGTACAAATATATTATAAATACACGCAAACGTTTAGGCGTGTCTAGGTACACCGTACACGGAGTGCGTTTTACCGGAGACCGGGAAAACTATAATGCGTCGTCGTCGTCGTCGACGTCGTCTCGCAGATCCCGCAAAACGTGGCAAATCGGCAAATCTCTACGGCGGTGCAGCTTTCCGTCAACACAGGGAACGAAGATAAAAATCATCTGCAGCGGGATTATATATAGGTACCTAAGTGTGGGCGATGCGTGTGTGATGGATGTCCCCGTAAACGCGACCAGGTTACTCGATGATGCCTCGGCGGGGACGCGTAGGTACACTGGCGCAGTGGAGTACGAGGGGTGCAGCCGCTCCGGCGGTTGGACCGCGGACGGGAGGGATGACGACACGCGCATGCGCCCCTCCTCGCAGATATAGCTGGCCCCCGGTAAATCGCACACACATATATCCATCCCCCCCACCCCCCGCTTCGCCGCCGCGATCGCCCCCACACGAACAACCCTTAAACGTCGCGTAACAAGTCACGTGTACTTACAAGCAGCTTTCAGGTGACATAATCAGTATACGTGCTCGTGTATGCAGTATAGCTGGTAAGCCGTTTTTTTTTTTTTTGTACTCTAATACCACAGTACAAGCAAATAATATATTAAATACTTACAAGTCGATGTACTCGAATAGTACGGTACTCGAGTACCTACTCGCGAACATCGCATACCTACACACGTACACGCGTGCATATTTGTTGACGGTTATGTGTTTCCGTGGTGGGTAAACGATTGATGACATGACCAATAATAATAATTAATATATAAGCATAATGCTTGTTTTTATGTGGAGCTCAGACGTCTTTTAGGGCGTTTATAGGTACTATAAAGTCGTCCTGCATTCATTCTAATCTCCTTAGGGTTACACTAAATCAGTTGAAAAAATGTTTTTCTTGTTCGAAGTATTAAATATAAATTAAGGAAACACTAAAGCAGTAACTGTCTACTGCAAAATATTTAATAATATTATCAATTATTAACATTTAATTATAATTATAATTTACTAAATCAAAATCAATAGACTAGTTCAATTTGAATAATCGGCTGTTAACTAAAATAAAATATGTAATTAGATTTGGAAGCAATGAGTAAAAACCGAAGTAAAATTACGTGAATAAATTGAAAATTTTTATATGAATGAGTAAATTCAACACAATTTGAAAAAAAAAATGGGAAAAATTCCGAAACTTCCAAAAATTGTACTTAACATTTGTAGGTTTTAATTCGTACTTACATGAAAAGCATGTAAAACTCCCTTAGTAATAAATTGAGACAATACAAGAAATGTGGAAAATGCAACAACAGCTGGGTCCTTTATTATTAATAATTAATAAATATTCGTATTGACGCACCAATACCTCAAGTAACTATTCTCAACCAATAAAATAATATTATACATCAAAGATTTTTAGAAAGAGACTATCTATAATATAAGCTATATTATACATACACGCATTGCTGGTATAGTCATGTAAGTACACCAAGTTTATTGATCAATTATATTTATGATCAATGAAAGATATCTTCCTCACTCGCTGTTTCGCGGAGGATTGAAATCAGCTATTCTAAAAATAATATGGTGTAAAATTAATTTACCGGTTGACTTTTTATTTTTATTTTGAAACTTAACTATTTACTGTTTAATCAATGATATTTGGTACTTACATTTTGTTTGAATCTTGATGTATATGTTGTGTACAAAGTAAGATCTGTAATAAAAAATACTGAACACATTTATTTTTTCACTAGTTACATATTGTACTTAGTTCAGTGGGTGTAACCATGTAAGTAGTTCAATAGGAATTAGTGTTCGAGATTGTCGTGCTAATTATTCTGATGACAAACGTGGGTGTAGTATAATAAATTGTTATTTGTCAGTGTACATCAGTGGTTCTTAACCTTTTTCGAATGACGGAACACTTAACATTTTACAAGATTTTCGCGGAACACAACCGTAAAATAAAATAGTAGTACACACATTTTTAATTTTTTAATATATTAAACAATAAATGTATAGCATAAAATTGTTTGCATGCCATACATGTTAGTGTTAGTCACTAAAAAATAATAAAATAATAAAAAGAGTTAAAAAAAATTTAAAAATTTGAAATTGAATACTTTGTATGAGATATTTGTGCCTGATGATTTTTACAGATATTTTCAATATCTGGCCGTATGTACGATATTGCTACTCTCATTTCCTCTTCAATATTTGTCAGCCTTTCTCGTTTCTTTGTTTTGATATTCGTCAGTGTTGAAAATCCAAGCTCACATAAGTATGATGTTGAAAATTGTAATAATATTGAAATTGCTTTT